ATATAAACGCAGTCAGAGAATTACCTGTCGTGTGTTGTGCTAAGGATTGGTTTGAGGGCGTGTCTTCGCAGCTGTAGTTCACTCTATTTGTTCAAGAAACAGGAGGCCCCGAAGGAGGGGTAGTTTCGTCCTTGTACATGCCTACAACAAGTTGTGGAACGCGGGAGGCTTTACGTGGAGCTCCACTGGCAAGGAAGCGATGTGCTTTGTTGAAGCCGGCTCCAATTGTCTTTGTAATGGCCCACACTTATACACATCATAGTCTATATTCAAATGATTTTTTTGTTTAACTTTTGTTATAAATAGTTTACATCGATTACTCTGTTAAATTTTAAAATCGATCCTCGTAGTTTAAATTAGTTTAAAAATATGACTTGAATAATAAAAATAATTGATATTTATGATATTTAAAAAGTACTAAACTTGAGACTTTCACTAAGAGGATATACTTGAACTTGACCATTGAATCACCGCCAAAAATTTAGATTAAATTGATTCAAAAGTATTTTAATTTTTTTAAATTTGAAATCAATTAAATCTCTTGATATGTTTAAATACTAACTAATGAAAAAATATATTTTAAAAGAATTTTCAATTCTTATAAAATTATACGAGAGTTGAATCTATTAACAAGCGAGCCTAAGCCATTTCTGGCAATTAATCAACAATTCGAAGTGTGTTGTTTCTTATGTATTCTTTTATATATAGATGTAGAAGGATAATCAGGGATAAGTTAAAAAAATAGATTAAGATGGTTTGATCATTTTCAACGGAGGCCGATAGAGACACCGGTTCGAAAAAGTGAAATAATCTCTCTTAATGGAACTAGAAGTAGGAGTAAAGCTAAAATAATATTGAATAAAAAAATAAGAAAATATATAAAAATATTTAATTTAAATGAGCGTATAGTGCATGATCAAAGTAAATGATAAAGACGAACTCACATATTCAACCCCAAAATAATTAAAACAATAAGAGTTAGATCGATTTAATTTGATATCACATCATCTTGCCTTGTGCAGTGTACTGCAATGGTGCACTGACTTAGGACGATAACAGTCGATAAGTCGCAAACATACCCAAACGAGGATGTTTGGACTTAAAGCATTATTCTATACACATCTATTGAATAATGCATTAAGTGTGAGTTTTGACTTTCATTATGCAATAAACTATAAAATTGTACAAATTTAATCCAAATGTGTGTATATATATATATATATATATATATATATATATATTGCAGTTTTGGGGTATTAGTCAAATTATGTGGTGTAAAATTGGTTCAATCAATATAAGATAATTTAATTAAAAGGGTTTGGAGGAACAAGTTAAGTATAATTTAAGCTCTAAACTCTTTTTTATTAATTTTGTATCAAGTTAACAAAGTTTTATTTTAAGACTATATTGTACATGAGTTATTGTTACGTTGAGTCTTGTTAAAAGTGTAAATCTTGTCAAATTTTGATAATTGGATACATAACATATATTTTTAGACCCAAATATATATTATGGATAAATTACACCTAAACCTCTTGACATTGTCATTTAGTCAATAAATGCTCTCACATTTGACATATTACACCTAAACCTTTGAGTTTTGTGCGTATGTCATATATAACTCCTAATCACCAATTTGCATTAAGGTAGTAATTAAAAATTTGCCAATCTCTATTGAATTTTTTTTTTTTGGGATTTTAAGAAAATAACTCATAATTTAATAGTATATTTTTGGTTATTTATGACTTGTTAGAAGATATTGATTAGGGCATTGTTAAAATAAATTGGTTATTTGTTTGATTATTTGATGTTAATTTGAATATATAATGTGACATAACACGAGTTATGGTATATAAGTTTTTTCTTTGTTCTTTTTAGGGTTCTTATACATCAGTGTTTATTTTTTTTAAAATATTTGTTCTTATCAAAGTTCTTGTATATCGGAGTTTTTCTTTGAATTATTTGTGTTATTTCATCCCTTTTTTGGTTTCTTTATTCCACTATTTGTTAACAAATTGATAGCAAATAAAAATAGAAAACACTACTCATTATAGAATTTCTCTTTGATATACAAAGAGTATGGCTTCTAATAGCGCAACATTGGTCTTTATATAGACAATGATCCAATGATAAAAAAATAATTTTTCCCCTTCCTAGATATCTGTCGTTTTACACAATTTTTTTTTGTTTCATAATATCTGTTGTTTAATGAAATCAAAGCGTAATTAATATTTTTTTTTCAAATTTACTTTTAACTTTTTAATGCATTAGATTAGGTGGAGATTAAGTGTCTTTCATATTTTTTTCTTTCCCAATACGTATTGAATAAGTGTATTTTAATCTTGTGTAATTATTTTTTACTCATATTAGAGTTATTTAATAACTTCTTTAATTTTTGTGTAAAAATGTTAAACGACAAATATATAAGAACGGATATAATATATACTATAATTATACAAAATTTTGAAAGTTCTGTGTGCAATATGTCAAATATGAGAGGTCATAAGTAATTCAGTGATAAATCTCACAAAGAGTGTATAATTTATCCTTTGTTTATCAAATGGGCATGAACATTATAACCCAAACATGGTGGACTATACCATAATTCGCACTATTATGGGCTTTTTGTCGATCACAGTAAGAAATTAAGAATTAAACCTAACTGCTCCTCTCTCTCTCTCTTTCTTTCTCGGCAAGAATCAATGCGATAGAGAGATTGTGCACTAGCGGTCTCTCTATATCTCTCCGTCTGTCTTCCTTGTTTCTACGAAGGGAAGGTTCAGGTTTCGATTCTGTTGGAAGGAAACCATCACATGTAAACTCTCTCTCTCTCTCTCTCTCCCCTACTCTGCATATGTCGTTATATATGTCAGTGTATTTTTTCTATCACTCCTTAGATCTAATTTCCTAGTTAAAATACCAAATTGCTAAATCTGCACATATAAATTTGTAAGAGTTTGTTTTGTATTTGACTCGTTAATCTTGAAAAGATATATATACACATGTCAATGCATGCGCTGCGGTTGTAGATATTGTATATGTGTGTTATATAACATGCTTAAACACAATTTGGGGCTCATTCTTATTAATGAACTAAGATGAAGAATCTTTGTGATTAGCTGGAGGCTTTTGGTGTGAAAAACTATGATGCCGACAATTAGTCAAATAATGATCAGAATTATGCTCAACATCTTCTGAAAGCATTGGACATTTACTATGATTGCACCCCCCCTCCCCCACCGCGGAGCTAACCTAATCCGCCATGGAAATCTGCACTCCCTTGATCAACAACATCTGGTTCTGAATCGTTCTTTTTAGTGGGGAGGAATAGTGCGGGTTGGGAGTGTGACCAAGCTGAGGCGCTAGGACCTTTACTCTCATATCAGGGTGGGGCAAGGAATTCAATCAAATGTTTGTTGTTCAATATCTTGGCTGCTCAAGAAGTTGGACTAGCACATAAAATTGTTTTAAGACCAACATCACAAAACCCAAAAAGTACAAATAATAAGAATAACCCACCAACATTAAGAGTTTACTAGTTTAGTAAATTCTTGAAGCTTAAATGACGCAATTCCATTGTATTCCCTAACTACACTTAACTGTGATGTTAACTTCTATTAGCTTCGGTGGCTTCATTTTATATAAATTATTATCTACCTGGTTCTTTAGTGCAAATATAGTGCGTAATTGCATACCCAAATTTTTTAGAGACCCAAAATACTCTTAGTTAATGAAAAGATAAACTTAATAAGGCCTTTATGCATCTTGATTTTGGCTGAATTTTATTTCTTTTGGTCCCATTTAATTTTCATATAGTGGTGTTTTCTGATAAGGTCTCTTCTATAGTGCTTACTTGAATGCTATTTAAATTGGGAAAAAATGAGTCACACATGACACGTGTCCTTTGCTGTTTACTTTAGATTATGATACATGGGTGTGCCAAGATTTATACGTCCCAAGGGAGGGGAAGGTGAATCGAGTCCTAACCTTTACGTGGCCAATTGTGGGCCCGCTGTGGGACTTTCTTTTGACACTATTGCTTCGGTGTTCGGCACGTACGGAGAAGTGAAAGGAGTCTATGCTGCTGACGAGAGTGGCACTCGTGTTATTGTTTCTTATTTTGAACAGAGTTCTGCCCATACAGCCTTGAAGACATTGGATGGACGAACATGTCCTGACCTTGGAGGCAGGTCTTTGCACATACGGTATTCGGTATTTCAACCTCCTTCTCAGGTACTAGATGATCATTGCTTAAGCATCTTACATTTTATGCTCAATTTTATTTCCTTGCTTGTTAGATGTTGTATTTGAGAGTTTTAAATTGTATTACCTATTTACCATTTTTCATGGTCCACGCACTAAATTGGGGGATCTTTAGAAAGTGGTAGGAGTATTTTTGTCTTTCGAACTTGTACTGTGTAAGTTGTATCTGATTTAATTATTTGCTTCCTCTCTTGGGTTCAGACCAATGTTTCAGTTCCAGTGTTTTTGGCAGCTTCAGAGTTGAGAATTCCTGGCATCTTCTTGATGCACGACTTTGTCACTTTTGAGGAAGAGGAGGTCAGGGGTCTTTGCTTTTGCAAGAAATATGTGCTTTTGTTCTGTTTGTTGTTCTTCATCATATGATTGAAAAATTGCAGCCAGAATTAGTCTTAGCTCCCTATACAAAAATATGTGTGTATATACATACATATTTATGTCTGTATTTATGTATTCATGCTATGTGTGCATGGATGTATGACTTCTGCCTGTATAATTTTCTTTGTATTTTCCAGGAACTGCTTGCAGCAGTTGATGGTATGCCTTGGCAAACTCTCGCTAGAAGAAGGGTTCAGCATTATGGGTATGAGTTTTGCTATGAAGTAAGTTATGAAATAGTGCAGAACTGGCCTCCCGCAGTTTGTTTATTGACAGTAATACACCAAATAGCATAAACATGAATTGAATATTTTTCTTTTTTCCTCTTCATCTGGTATATTTTTTCCTTTTTCCTTCATTATAAGGAACAGATATAGTAAGTTGTGTCAAGCAGAAGAGCACTGGGCACATCGGAAGTTGGTTTTCTTGGACCTTTTTTAGTTATTCTTTTAAACAAATGAAAGGAACTCTGTTAACCTGCAGTCAAAGTCTTTTGGTCTTCTTAGTTGTGAACAATCTCTTCACATATTTAGAGGTAATAGAGCTGCTTTCACTTTGCCAATGTTCTGTCATAGTCGATCTTTCAACGCACTTAATCAGGTGCAGATCCTTGACATATGTCATTCTCTGTTCATTTTTGGGTGATTTAATGGAAATTTGGTGACCTGTTTAAATGCTTCCTCTTTCTATTCCTTCCCTTGTCTTTCATTTCTTACTTTAATTATCCGTTTTCTGGTTTACGCAATTGTCCCACTAAGGTTGTGGGTGATCAGTATTGTTAACTACTTACAGTGAATCCCAAGCTTTATATGTCTTATTGTTATCATAAGGGTGCCACCAAAGATATGGATGATTATTGTCAGCCTTTTTTTTTTTTTTTTTTGTGATCTTGGATCATGATAAAGTGGAGTGTGTCCATACATTTATTGAGTAATTTAATTTAATATCCGTGGCCCCTTATATAGATTACCTAGGATTACTTAGACACCTGAGACCTCATAGGACTTGCTGAGGGTCATGTGTTTACCAGAATAGATTTCACCCTATGACAAAAAATTGTGATGTCAGGAATTTAGAAACCACCCCAGCCGCACACCATTGCTGGCTTATGTGCATCGGCGTAAATGGATCAAACAAGAAAAATATGTTATTGATTGAGATTCTTTATTTTCTTATGAGCTTGCACTTTTGGTTCCTATCTGACCAATCACTAGCAATTGTCCATTTCATTTGGAATCTTTTGACTCTAAAATATTGATTGGCATATCTATACTAATAAGATAGATCCCAATTTGAATCTCTAAGTTGGGAAAGCACAAGGATGGTTTAGATTTGCTTAAGAATATTGATCCAATGGTCTAAAATTACTCTCACAAAATTTTCCCCCTCATATATGTCACATCCAAACCCAAATCTCAAAGGTCTAAAATTGATCCAAAGGTTAATATCACTCTCAATCCTTCTCTCACGTGTCATCTCTCTCGTCCCTCACCCCTCTCAGCTTCAACTCTCTTTGCCCAGCTGGCTCTTTGCTCCATCTCCCTCATATCTCTCTCCATCTTTGCCTATTCTCTCACCCTTTCTTTGCTCATCTACCTCCGTCTCTCTGACCCTCCTCTCTATTCTCTGACCCCATCTCAGTTGAAGCAAACCACCCCCACCTTGTAGCAACAACGACGGCGATGCACACAAGGTGTTCGATCAAATGCACACATCACATTCTTTTGGTTATTACTGGATTTCCAAGAGAAGGCTCAACCCCACCACCGCAACACCGGCGTCACTCTGAGGTAGTTTTCTTTTTCCTCTCCCCTCCCCTTCCCTTATTTCTGTCGTCCTCTCTTTGCACAAACCACCCTCATAGCTCATCTCTTCTTAATTCTCTCATTCTCTCTTCTTCCCCTCCCTATTTCTCTTATCTCCATCTCTCTCCGATGCCGGCAACCATACGAGTCTCTGCTACCTCGTGTGCAAGGTGTTCGACCAAATGCACACAATGTGTTCGATCAAATGACCCTAACACTCAACGCACACACATAGCTTGCACAACACACACGTCACACGTTGCACAACCCACCCACACACACAATAGTACACACGCCACAAAACTCACATAAATGCACAGTAGAACACATAACACACGTACATTACCCTTAACTATTTGAAATTATTCTTTTTATGCTTAAGAAATCTGAAATGGGTTTTGAAATTGAAATTTAGATATAATGTTCAATGGTAGAATGGTCATCAAATTTTGGAAGAGCATATTTTTAAATATTTTTAAGAGTTGTAAATTGTTTTCTGTGGTCTGACCTTACCAATTTTGATTAGATTATTGATTCTCTGTTTTAATTAAATTATTGATCCCGGTGAAAAATTTCCATTGTTTAAATCCTGTTTTTTTTTTTTGTTGGGTATGGGAATTGAGTTGTCGGCAGAGGTAGAAAGGGCGGGGGTAGAATACATGTGTGCATGCTATGTTCCAGGCTATGTTCTAGCCTTAAAATTTCCTTAATTTCTTTTAGATCAACATTTGCATTCCTTTGTTTCGTATTCTTTGTCAACCAATGACACATACTATCAGATTTGAGCATAAAGGACTATTGCAATGGAGGGCTATTAGAAAATTTCAATTATACGTTTGTACTTTGTGTATATGATTTCAAACTATTGGGTTTTGCTAAGATATAAGTTTAGAGTTGGGAATTTAGCAAGTTGATTGCTTTCATCAATTGACATTCTTAGAAATCATGTAGTTTCATAAATTATAAGAATTTACATCATTGGTTTGACAACATAAATTTCCATATTTTCTTATGCATCATGGATTCAAGTTCAAAATTTCAATTCAAGAAACAAAATCTGAAAAACATTTTTGATAGCTCTTGGCATTGGCAAAATATTTTATTTTGCTTTTTTCGTTTTCCAACTTTTCTTTCTTTCAAAATTGGCCATCGTATAATGTTGTAACAATACTTAATAAATAGCTACAAGATTTAAGTGGGATTACAATTCAATAATGTTGTCCCATTAGCACATCCTAGTCAATTTTTGACCCATAATCATTCATTTAGAATATAGCCAATAACTTTTTTCCCGATGAGTAGCTCCTAAAATATAAATTTAAGAAACAAAATTTTGAAAACCTTTCTAAAAGCTCTTAAAATTAGCAAAATATTTTATTTAACCTTTTCTGTTTCCCAACTTTTCTTTTTTAGATGTCTTGCTTTCAAAATTGTTCATGTTTTTTGCGTCCTGCCTTGTTTCTGCTATACTTTTGTCATTGACTAACTAAAATACATCTACCATGATTGATTTTTTGGGATGGTCAATTTTTATATTATACTGTGCCTTCAGGCACGGGTTATTACTAGCGTATTGATACTTATAAAGGATTCATCTAAAACTTTAGCGACCTGCAATTTACTTTTTGTTTCCCTTTGAATTCCACTTTTCTGTTGAGATGTTCATTTTTTGAGTACCAAGTATGTCCATTACATTGATATTGCAGCCTGGGCCCTGCTGACACCCACAGATCCCTTTGTCAATTCTGCTGGTTTCCTGCTTTATTATGTATCCATGACTAAGAATGTCTGGAGACTGAAGACTATGCTGCTGTATTTTTCCTCTCTTTTTTTTTGGCAGACAAGAAGTGTTAACACAAAGCAGCATCTGGGTGAACTTCCTTCATTTGTTTCCCTCATAATGGAAAGAGTTTCTTTGTTTAAGAAACTTGATTATGATGCAAATATAGATTTGGACCAACTGACGGTATGTTCTGACTTGATTTTCTGTCCATAACTTGCCATATTTCTTTTTGAGTGATAAGTGATAGCTATTTTCCTCCCCTCAAGGTTAATGTACATTTACATGTTTTTGTATTTAGTGCTGACAATTTGTTATTACCCTTATCGGCTTACATGTTAATAAATTACTGATTGCTATTTTTCTCCTGGTAGAGTCCACATTTACATGTTTTGGCATTTAAAGCTGACAACTTTTTATTATTTTGTATAGGTTAATGAGTACCCACTAGGTGTGGGCTTGTCCCCTCATATAGACACCCATTCAGCATTTGAGGGATCAATTTTCAGCCTCTCATTAGCAGGGCCTTGCATAATGGAGTTCAGAAAGTATCCAGAAGGTGGTTGGCTTTCAAAACCTGCCTCGAATAGTGACAGGGAGGTTGAAGGTTCGGGCAGTGGCTCAAATTTCTTGGGGAAGGCTATTTATCTTCCACCTCGATCAATGCTCTTGTTATCTGGAGAGGCAAGATATGCCTGGCACCATTACATCCCACACCATAAGGTATTCCTTACTAATTGTCTATACTTTTTGTACTTTGTGATTTTGTCAGTTACTTGAAACATGTTCCTTGTTATGTCAATAAGTCCTCCATCAATGCTCGACATTTAACAGAAAACAAATATTCACCTACCAGAAACAAAAGCGAAGAGTTGCATGTTTAAGTTTTTCTTTAATACAACCACAGAGCTTTGATTATATCTTTCTAATTGTGTCTTGATTTTCTTTGTGTGTTAGGTGTGGGTACAGGAATATATCATTAAGGAAACTTTTAAGTTATAGATTTAAGGAGGATCCAAAAGTTAGATGTGAAACTGTGCTTGCTAGTGAGGTTCTTTGCACAAGAAATACCTTGTCTGGCTTAACAGAACTTGTTGGGTCTGAACCTGCTTCAGACTAACTAATGGAGAAAGACAGTCTGAGCATTAGCATGTCACTGAGGGTATCATATCAATCAAGATTAAGAGGCAAGAACACTAAAGCTTTTATGATTATAATACAAAGATTGGGCCTTCTAATCATTGACAGGAATCAGGATTCAGTGAGATGATTTTTTTTTTTTTAATGTTATTCAAAACTGTCTGTTAGGATTTCAATGGCAATGGTGTTAGGAATCAAACTAATAGTACAAGTCCTAGATGGCCTCGGATTTGTACCATATTGTCCTTTCTTGGTTTGGTGTGATTTGGGTCCTTCCCTACTTTTGGTTAGTGTTGTTAAAGGTTGGAGTATTAGTGCTTTTGCTTCATATCCTTCTCTCCCCCCACCCAGTGATCTTTGATTTTTATGCAAGTCTTGTTCTCATTCCAAAATATTTATATTGATCCATGCTTGTTCTACAGGTTGATGTTGTGAAGGACAGTGTGATCAGGAGGGGGTCGAGAAGAGTATCTTTCACATTTCGCAAGGTATGTAAAATTTAAGGCTTTGGTGGGTCTCGTATGGTTGACTCTCAATATGCATATGTAATGTCTTTGAAACTTTGGTTATTCCTCTATACGTATATATATTCGTGTGTGTGTAGCTACACTTCCATTCAATCAGACATGATGCTCATCGAAGGATGTAGGGCTCCTGGACTAATATTGGAGCTATATTTCCCCCGAACTTACTGTATTTCTGTGGACTGCTGGAAATATGACCAGATAGATGCTCCAAAAAAATTTCCACTCTCGAGATTGTAAAGAAAATATAGCTTGCGAATATCGTTGGATCTGCTCTTCCTTTTCTTCCATTTGATCAATCTCTCTCTTTTTCCCATCCACTCAAAGGAATATGGAATTTAACAGCTGGTGAACTCAAAATGGCTTACTCTTACCTTCCCGCTTCAAACAGAATATGGGCATTCTTGTTAATGCATATGCAACAAAAGAAAGAATTGTGGAAACGTCAGTAATGCTAGAATAATGTACACCATAAAAGAAGCTTGCTGCAATGGAGTGAGTAAAATGCAGGCAACTGACCACTGTGACACATTGGATACCTGTATGTGTGGTCATATGCAGTAAAGTAATGTAGAAATAAAATAGTGTGCAAGTTGCATTAATAAGTTTTTTACTTATCATTTGTACCTATTAAAGGAAATAGCAATCTCATAGTGTTGATCAAACATTCTCTGAATTCATTTGGAGTTTATAGTTTAGTCTGGCACAGATCCAAGATGATGGGCGACAACTGTTTATTAAACTAGATGAACAATGTCTATGCGTTACACACGTTGATAGAAAAGCTTTGACATATTTGATGTTATTAAATTTTTTGAAATGATGAGATAAATACTCTGTATTTTCACATGTTGCAGGTCAGGAAAGAACCTTGTCAATGTAGATTTCCTCAATACTGTGATTCTCAGAGATAAAAGGGGACAAGGACAATTTTGTTGTGATTTAGGTACAGATTTGAGAGCGATGAAAGTTTGACCGGAATGGTTGATATGGCACGGTTCTGCAAAGCCTAGGGGTCCTCAAAAATGTGATCAAGGAATAGAAAGCCAATTCTTGCAAGTGATCAGCTGGCTTCAAGATGGGGAAAGAATTGCAAAAATAAGATCGTTGGACTTGTCGTGGACGGTTTTTTTTTAATTTGCATGAGATAATAGCAAATTCCTAGACGTTGAAATTTAATGAACTAGCTGGATGCCTGCCTATTTGTTTCGTAGTTTTTTTTTTTGTGTTAAGGCATAGTCACTTTGAACCCATCCTTGTGAGAGTATACTTTGGATGCCTACAATCACCCTCAAATCACATAACAGGTATTAGTTAAGTTCGAAGACACTAGCGAAGATATCAAACTCCTAACGCCTAGGTCTATGCTTCATCTAGGTTCAATCCCGCACTATTGGGCTACCTCTGCGGGTTTTCTTGGTTTGTTGTAGTAACCAATTAAGGCTAAAAAGTGATGTGAATTTGTTTGAGGTCATTGTATGCTTGAAACCATTCACCATTTTTTTTTTAATGATATTTATGGATCCATTGTATGTCCATCAAAAACCCAAGGGGGCTCTCATTTGGTTTGTGGTCTTATTTGTACGACTTATTCCGCTTACATAAGTTGTTAAAATGATGCTAAAACCTTTATTCTTCTTCCCATTTTCTTTCTTTTTCCTCTCCGTTGAATTTAATTGTTCTTATTACCCCCTTCTCTTTGTTCTTCTTGTCCACCAAAATTGGCTGATTGAATCCTTAGAATTCAAAATCAACTTCACCACAACAATCCAATATCCGCCACCACACCGCTGCACATCCTCCATCACCCCACTTGCGACCACTATATCATTTCTCATCCACCCAGCAAAGTATGTCCGCCACACCACTCTGTTAATCTGATGGTGTAGCGGGCAAAATTGGATTTAAACTGAAAATCCACATTACTTATATTTTCTCCTGCAACCATTAATTAGCTGGAAAAATAATTAAAGTACAAAAAAGGACAAAAAAAAGAGCCAAATTATCCATTATAAATATTGACTAAAATAATTACATCTGTGATTTTAATAAATTCTATAATTTGATATCCATAAAGGTAGTCTAAAGCTTGAAAAGGAGACATTTTACAGCTGTGCTATAAATTAAACTCAAACTGGAAATGTGAAGCAAACATGAGTAATTTTCAGAAAACAATACCATGCATACATTTGATAAAGTATTCCAATTCTGAGAAACATATCGTCCTCCGAACCAAAGGTGATGGCCGCTGAAATGTAAAGAATGAAAAATGGCGGCGATCAGGATCATTTCTTGGCTTTGCAGTCTCAGCTATTCTCATAAATCCTTCTCTATCGTAAATTGGAACGGAATTATGACCGGCAACAGCCAATCCTCGATCCCAGGATGAATTTAAAACCTGTAAGGAGGAAAGAAGAACATATTATTCATCAAAAATCCATCATACATTCTTGAAAACATAAAAATGTATTGACGTAACAGGATTGTGCACAACTTCAAGTCGCTGTTTTGGGATCTGTAAAAATGGCACTGGTTAGGCATGGATTTTGTTTCGTTATCTTTCAAGGAACCAAGAAACCACCACCGAGACTTGGACTAGTCAAGACGTAAATGACTACCAAACAAAGGCCAGCAAAGAATCAGCCAATTTTGTCCTCAGCTGACCCGATCCTGGGGTTTCTCAAAATCCAGAAAGCTTTAGCGTCCATTCCCATTTAACCAAAGCTGCAAGCAGTACTAAACCTAACAGAAAACCATACAGCCTGGAAACTAAAAGGGGAAGTCGAAGGGAAACTAAAAAGGGTCATTACCTGCCAACTCAAGCCTTCCGGATCAGCCAATGCTTCACTGATGTCCTGACATGACATTTGCAATCCTAAGCAGACAAACTTCACCGTCACAGAGTGTTTCTTGAGTACCTCAAAAACTGGACTGTATCCATCCTGGTTTGTAGAGTTATAGTATCCAGCCGTGAGTTCTGCTGCATGGCTTGTAGTTTTGTACCACCAATACACTGCAGGAATCTGCACAATTGAATTGTTGTAAACCGAACAGTATCTCCAAATAAGGAAATTAAACTTGCATCTTCAAACTTCACAAAGCTTGTTCATTGTGATAGTTTGGGAAGTCTCTCTATCTTATTAAGGCCAGAAATTTCAATGGTTCCCTTCTCCAGGTTCACATGTATGGCAAAGTTCAGACCCCATTAAGAAATTCAGTTTAGGTCTTAGTTTTCAATGGTTCCCTTCTCCAGGTTCACATGTATGGCAAAGTTCAGACCCCCATTATGAAATTCAGTTTAGGTCTTAGTTTCGGTTTTCTGTAACCACTTAATTCGATGAACCCATATATGCTTCATATGCAACAGGTACTCGTTATGTGCCGAATTTTACCTATAGACGGAGACAATAATCTGAAGCTAAATGTTTTCATTCTAGAATAATAGTTAATACTCTGAATATTTAGTGCACTTACATACAAAATGAGATCTTTCTAACAATCGATTCCATATGCTGGCTTTCTGATCACTGTTTTCGAATGGAAAACATGCGAAAAATGGACTGCTTTCAGGATAGTTTCTAAAAGAGTTTTCAGGCTTTCAGCATTTGTAAGAATTGAGGTCACTCAAAAATTCAAGATGACCAAAAATGCCTGCCTTCAAAATTTTCGGCATTTTCATTCTTAGAATTTTCAAAGCTGAACAATAAAAAAAATGCAATGTGATACCCGGGCGAGCCCCACATTTGGCACTAATGAGTTGTGATGGTAGATATAATAGCATAATTTGATTTAAATAGGGAATGTTCCCAACTGCTCCAAAATTGTGTACTCTGCTAAAGGTAAGCAAATGATCCAAGGCATCCTAAAAACCAGTATTTATGACTTAAATATATTCACCAAGTACCTTAACAACTATCTGTGTTTCCTCAAATGCAAGGCTTGCAAGGTACAGCACACTATCAGCATGATCTATTAAGGACTTGGCATACCAGTGAAGGAAGAAACGACCATAATAACTGTCATAATCTCCTCGTTCACAGAAAAATCCAGTTTCATGTGGCCTAGAATTGTAATGACCAGCATTATCAGGGCCTCTGGCCCAGAAGGAGTGCCCGCGTATTTTCGCAGCATTTCGTAGATTCTGTTGTGAATATTTATCATAGCACTGTGAACATATAAATAAAAAAATTAATAAACAAAGAAGGAAGCATTAAGCACAGCTTGTCATTCATCAAAAGTCAACAAGATTACAAATCAACAAGCAAAATTTTGAACCATTCCTACATGTGGGTGCAATAGTATCTTTTCTCTCCAGTTCAGATAGTCCAAGATAAGACTTTTTTTCTCACTAATATATCTTTCCAGAACATCACTGATTGTGTGCCACTTAATTCTGCAGCCAAAAAGTTTCCAACCACCAAATAGGCCAATAAAACTGTGTCACGCACAGAAGCAATGCATCCTATGAAATATCAAAAAACGTTTCCAGGATGTTCACACTGGTCTCCATTTTGGGCCACATGAACAAATAAATTGGCAAATCCAGACAAAACACATCATTCAAAAAATCCTCAAGTCTACCAACAAAACAAGTCTCCACATATGGCATGGCATGCCAAGTGGTGCATTTAACTTAAGTTAAATTGGTATTTGTGTGAAATAGTTTCAATAAATCATAAGACTTTCAATGAATATCTTTGCCAATTTTTATGTTTATCACACTTCTGCCAACCCAAAAAAACAAAAATAAGGAAAAAAATCCCTGAGTCACAGAAGCTCCAAACCAAGTCCTTAGAAAGCCATCTTGCACAATGGGAGTGCTTAGCCAAGTACACCCCTACCTTGGCTAAGGCATGGGCCATCATTGGGCAAGTCACCCATATGTCATAGCTCTGCCAACGTGCTAAGGGGCTAACAAACCACCCTCACCAGAAGAACTCGACGTCCTTGTCGAGAGGTTATCCCAATACTCCTTGATCTGTTTCTCAAACTGCTAAAGAGTAACATCTCTTTCTCAACTTGCTTCTGCCTTAGTGCCACCTTTCTAATGAACCGAAATATCAATTCTACGATTCTTCTACTCTGACCCATGACCATGTGAGACAGAATCTTGTTGGCCTATTTGTCAAACTGTTTTCGGATTATAGGCGGAGCCCTTCATGCTTGTGTCTATCCAACATCCAGCAAGTCTTTCATGATAAGGCTTCAAAAAACTCACATGAAAAGTTGGTGAATTTTCAATTGATCAGGTAGCTTCAAGTGATGGGCAATGTTCTCAACTTTCTTTATCACTTCGAAGGGACCATCATATTTAAGAACCATCCCATGGTGCACTATTTTTTTGTTGATCCTTTTACAAATTACAGGAGTCAAATTTAACAAAATCTGATTACCAACTTGAAAATCCAACAACCTAAGACCCTTGTCTAGATATTTCTTCATTTGACGGTCAACTTTGGCTAAATTGTCCTTTACTTCGTCAAGCAACTCTTACTTAGAACGAGCAAATTGATACGCAGTGGGACATCAACCTTCGGTTCTCTATTTCACCACTTCATGAGGAGTAAGTGGTTGTTGTCCTATTACCAATTCACAGTGGCTCATTCTATAGCAGACGATCTGCGTAAGTTGTAAAAAAATTGAGCAGTATCTAGTAACTCCACTCATTTTTTCTAACTTGCATTAACATAACGATGTAGATAATTTTCCACCAAAGCANGCAGAAGATCTGTGTAAGTTGTAAAAAAATTGAGTAGTATCTAGTAACTCCACTCATTTTTTCTAACTTGCATTAACATAACGATGTAGATAATTCTCCACCAAAGCATTGATCCCTTAGTCTGACCATCAATTTAAAGGTGACTTGCTATAGAAAACTTCAATTCAGAGCCTATGAGATTGAACAACACTATCCAAAATCTACCAATGAACCTTGTGTCATGATTACTAACTATGTCTTCTAATAAACCAAAATACTTCACCACGTGCTTGCAAAACAATTTTGGAGCGACATCAGTCTGGGCATAGAGCAGGTTATCTTCTAGCCAATATCTACAAACCAAACCTTCACTGACTTGTTGCTTCAGTGATGTAGATTGTATTAGCTCTGATACTAAATTGATGTAGATTGTATTAAGAAAGAATCAGGGATAAAAAATGAAGGAGGGGATGAGAACAGAGAGAATTTGAAGGAAGAATGATTCAATGTCAATAATCAATAATAATCAAAGTCTACCAAAACTCCTAATCCTAAAAGAAATAAATAGTCATAATGACAACTAAGCTCCTGAAAAGAAAAATGACAAATAACTCCTAATCCCTACGTTTACACCTACTATAACGAAATATAATCCGATTCCTATCATTTTCCCCCGGCTGAAAAGAACTCGCCTCCGGATAGATACGATCATGATAATGCTCTAAAAGATCAGAGTCAAGCCGACGAAACTCCTCTTCAGTAATCCATGAATCATTAGTCTGTGGACGATCTCTCCATCGAACAAGATAACGACGATATCTTCCATCCAAGGAGCCCACAATCTGATCGTCAAATACATTTGCAATCTGGTCATGCAGCTATAGTGAAAAAGGTGAAAGAATAGGAACTGTAGATGATGCTGATGACGAAACAACTCCACCTGTAGGAACACCTGCTGGCAACGTAGAAGGCTCAAAAGTACCATGATAAGGAAACAAGTCCTCCAGATTGAAAATATGACTAATACTCATATTCGAAGATAAGTCAAAGTGATATGCATTAGGGCCAAGCTTACGAAGAATACGAAAAGGGGGCCAGTGGCTTGAGCATATAACTTTTTAAAAGAATTTTTAGGGTAACGTTCAGGACGCACATGAACCATGCATAATCTCCTACAGTAAATTTTTTATTCCTACGGTGAACATCTGCAGCCAATTTATAATTTTCATTACTTAATGTAATTTTCTGTCTTATGTCGGTATGCAAGTCATGAATATGCTAGCTAAAAGCTTCGACTGAGTGCGAAGGGCGAGAATCAGGAGGTAGAGGTAATAAGTCAATAGGTTGTCAAAGGGAATGACCATAAACAATCTCAAAAGGGGATCTACCANATTTTCATTACTTAATGTAATTTTCTGTCTTATGTCGGTATGCAAGTCATGAATATGCTGGGTAAAAGCTTCGACTGAGTGCGAAGGGCGAGAATCAGGAGGTAGAGGTAATAAGTCAATAGGTTGTCAAAGGGAATGACCATAAACAATCTCAAAAGGGGATCTACCAATCGACTTGTTGACGGAGTTGTTATAGGCAAATTCAGCAGTAGGTAACAACAAATCCAAATTTCCTATCGTCTCACCCACTAGACACCTAAGCAAATCTCCTAAGCTATAATTGACAGCCTCAGTTTGACCATCAGTTTGGGGATGAAAGGCAGAGAAAAACTTTAGAGTAGTTCCAAAGAGTTTCTAAAGTATCTTCCAAAAATAACTCACAAATTTGACATCCCTATCAAACACAATAGAAATAGGCAATCCATGTAGTCAGACGATCTCTCTTAAAAATAACTTTGTTACATGTGAGGCATCAGTAGACTTAGTGCAAAGAATGAAATGGGCAATCTTAAAAAACCGATCCACAACAACTAAAATGGAATCATGACTACGAGCTGTTTTAGGCAATCCTAAGACAAAGTTTATACTAAGGTCTCGCTATGGTGTGTGTGGAACTGGTAATGGTGTGTACAACCTAGTGTTTTATTTTCTAGCCTTTGCTAACTGACAAGTGCGACACTATCCTAATAATGTCACGCCTTAAAGTGGGCCAATAAAACCTATCCTCAACAAGTACAAATGTCTTATCCTTACCAAAGTGGCTTGTTAGACCTCCCGCATGTAATTTCCAAATCAGGAAATCCCTAAGTGGAGTACGGAGAATACATAAGCGCGACCCTCTAAACAAGTAACCATCTCTAAGGAGGAAGTCAATGTACTCATGACGATTACCAGCTTGAACATCCTGAAAAATGATATCAAAGTCAAGACAAGAGGCATACTCATCTCTAAACCTGTCAAAGATGAGCAAATGAATACTTATAGTCTGTAAAACAGCAACTACATGGCTAAGAGCATCCACAGGCTTGTTTTCAATACCCATTTGGTGGTGAAGAACAAAAGTATACTCCTAAAGGAACTCAACCCACCGAACGTGCCTAACACTCAATTTTCTCTGGGAATGAAGGTATTTCAATACCTGATAATCAGAATATAACCCAAACTCAGATGGCAATAGATAATACCTCCAATGGCGAAGAGCTTGTATCACAGCGTAAAACTCTTTGTCATATGTAGAGTATCGTTGTTTAGCTTCATTGAGTTTTTCGTTGAAGTAAGCAATAGGATAACCTTCTTGACTCAAAACTCCACCTATCCCTACATCAGATGCATCACAGACGACCTCAAACACCTTAGAAAAATCTGGGTGTCGAAGGACGGGTGCCTCTGTCATCCTGGGCTTAATTTCTTGAAAGGCTCTAGTTGCAACAAGAGTCCATTGAAACTCCCCTTTTTTCTTGCACCCTGGTGCTAAAAGTAAGAAAGTACAGACTCAGTTGAACACTTGACTGTAGGCAAAAAAACAAAGTTAACACTGTCAAGTGGGGCAGAATCTAGAACAATGTTAACAATCTTAGGTTGGGAAGAATTTGTAGTAAAGTCATGATGACTTGGACAAGTAGACACAGAATAGTTACTAGTAGATTCTGCAATAAATGACTCGATTGGCTTAATATCTTGCGTAGGTGTAGACTCAATAGACTTTTCCACAATTTTCAAAACCAATGACTCAATCTTAGACAACATTCTTCTAGTATCTCTGATTACTTTGCCCAGTTCGATTATCTCATGTACTTTTGTGACATTGTTGAAGAACTTTGGACAATTGATCAGTTTATTCTTGAATTGAGACTAATACGTTAGTTGCAGCCTATCAATATGCTCTAAAGGTTGAGAGATTTCATAAGAAATCCAACTATAGCTTGTTGGGTTCTCAATCACTGTCTGCTAAACAGCGTGAAAAGATACCTTCTAATTTTAATTCCACAACTTATGAGTATCATAATTACTTGAATAATGTCCATATTGTTTCTGCATGCTTTCCTAATTCGAATGTGGCAAAGGATTTAGATGTGG